TACACTAACAAACCCTATATATATATATATATATATATATATTGTTCTCATGATATTTAAGATAGCATTATAAGATATCATTATCTAGTTAAGTAGATATAACATTATGTTTCATTCACTGTAACTTAATCTGCGAAGTTCATCAACTATAGACTAGGTTAGTATAAAAAAGTACTGTTTTGGAAACTTTTAGCAGTTTAATTTCTTAAATTTGGATCTCTAATTCTAATCTATAAACTCTAAAAGTTTGAAGCATAAACATGAAATTTTGAATTGAAAGCATCAAGTGTGGTAGCGTGCTCTGGTTTTTTCTCCTTCTCTCTGTCTTTATTGGCTTGAAGGTTCCGATCTCTGCTGTGAATTTTGCCTTTTCCACACGTTTATGGTTGCTTCATCTGCTGAATCTACCAAGGTTTGTTTGGTTGTGCTTATCCTTGATCTCTTTGCAACGGGTCATATTCGGGTCAAGAATCTTCTTCGATCCGGCTTGTCTTCAAGATATGGGGCTTCGGCCTTTCTGCACTTTGGCTAGGAGGTTGTTAAGTTAAAAAAAGGTGATCTTATTCCTCCTTAGATTATTTCCTTTGCTATACCGTGACTCTTCAGGTGGTGTCGGAAAATGTATAGAGATCCAGGTGTTCCCTGAATAAAGTTGTTGTTGGGTATGCGCTTACTTCTGCCTTCTTGTCTTCGTAATCCATTTAGCTTGGGTTTTGAGTTGTCATGGCCTAAATTTATGTTCAGATTCTAATATAAACCTTGTTGGTTATGTTTTGTCTCAGCTTCTGGATAATTATGTTAATTCTGCCAGTTAATGTCTCCAGAGGAAGCTCTTGTTCCTGCTGGCTTAGTTTCTAGGTGTTATAGCTTTGGATAATTCCTTGTGTAATTGTTTGGTTTTCAATCAATGAAATCTTTGAGCAAAAAAAATTCTAAAATTTGGACTTGCTTGTCTTATATAACTAATTAATAACTCTTCATTTTCAATATTAACTGGTTTCATATCTGTATTCTGAATCGTGAAACTAAATGTAAATCATGCACCCTAAACAGAGCCACACTGAGGAGAAGCTGTAATTAATTAATACCGAGGCGAGGGGGTCGTGAGGAAATCTGCGTTTCGTATCAGGAAAACATTTTTTGTTGAACAAGTATATATATATAGAAAAAACATGGGGATATTGATGAGAAAAAGATGAACAATTAAGGAAACAATAAAGGACACAAGAAAGTAAATATGGGGATATTGATGAGAAAACATGGGGATATTGATGAGAAAAAGATGAACAATTAAGGACACAATAAAGTAAATATGGATATTATATAATAATCAGAAATAGGCATGGGCATTCGGGGTCTCATTCGGGTTTCGGTTTTGTCCAATCGGGTCTCAGTTCTTCGGGTTTATCAAAATCAGCCCCATTCGGATTATTTGAAAGTTCGGTTCGGGATCGGTTCGGGATCGGTTCGGGTTCTATCGGGTTCGGGTCGGGGTTAGTAAATCTTTAAAGAACCGGTACAACCCGTTATACTTTCGGATTCGGATCCCAATCGGTTCTTTGGTTTAAAAATACTTGATTTATACCTACTTTGTAACGAAAACATAAGTAAAATTGGTTCTTCGGATTTAAAGTACCTAATGTGTAGCTATTTTATAACCAAAACATAAGTAAAACTGATTCTAAAATAAGAAAGGAACATTAAATTTGATCATTCAAAATCAAATGAAAGGTAAACATAGTTATTAATAGAAAGAAAACCAAATAAATGAAAGCATAAAACGAAAACCTAGTTCTTAAAGAATAAGAAACATTATTCAGTAATAACAAAACCTTAATCTAAAAATTTCAAGTTTCAACCGCCATCTTCAACCATCAACCTTCGTGTAATAGATAATTATTTTAGATATTTAGTAATATCTTAAAATATTTTGATATATATTAGGAATTAAGATCATGTTTGGTACATATTCTTATTAAAAATTTTAAATGTTTCGAGTTCTATCGGATATCCATTTAATTTCGGGTTCGGTTCGGATAATACCCATAACCCGAAATACCAAAAAACAAGATCCATTCGGTGTTTAAATCGGGTTCGGATCGGTTCAGATTCATTTTTATCGGATCGGATTCGGTTCGGATTTTCGGGTTCGGTTTATTTGCCCAGCCCTAATCAGAAATTTGCATACGATCCACAATAAAACAAGGACACTATTAAGATCTCATGATAGTCTATTTAAGAACATATAGAAAAAAGTTAGCTCTCATATGAAGCTTTTACAAAATAAATTCAAAGCACTTATGTAATAAGTTTCACATTCTCCACATGGTTTAAGAATGTGTAAATATCTTGACCCATGGCAGATCCTAAGCCTTGGATTTCAATTCTTCTGATAGAGTTTGTTTCCTTGTTGTAGCAGAAAATGTAGAAAGGGATGGACACGACGCATGGAGAAAACACAATTTCACTATTACCGGTAGTCCAATAATATGTACCCTAGTCTCAGCAACTAAACTCCACCATAGAGACGGAAACATGATAATATTCTTGCACCATGTATGTTTCTCGATATCATCTATGACCCACAACACGAAACCACTAGATCTTCCATCCATATAACCAAATTTATTAGGATGGAGTATACCTAATTTCCCCTTGCAGTTTATCAGAGTTGAAAAAGATTTTATATCCTTGAAAGCTTCATCAACAATAAACTTAAACTTCTCTGACCTTATGTCAAAACAAACTATCATAGAAGTTTCCCAAGATCCACTTCCCACAGCTAAGTAGTATAAAACCCCGTCTATGCATATCTCTTTATCTTGAAACTGAGGATAATGAGATACTGAACACTCAATCATTCTCCAATTCAGTTTTCCCGTTCCTAATGTGAGAACCTGGTGCTCTTCAGCTAAAGGATTATACGGCTTTTCACAAGATGCCATGCACAATACCTTGTATACTTTTTCCACTGGATCATACCCTAAATATGGCATCACCCGACCCCTCCTAGTTTTCACTTTGGGTAACAGTTCGTATCTTCCTGTGCTAGGGTACATATCATCATTCTAGCATCTTTCTTTCTACTTAGATTCCACTCATATTTAGTACACAACAAACCACAGGCGGGGACACAAACTCTAGTGGGATAATCCATAGGGACATAACTAAGACCATCAACAGCTACACGAGAATACTTCTTGTCTGAAATCAGAGACTGCACTCAGGTGAAAATAGACCACTTACCCTCTGCATGGAAAGTGAAAAGGACACATGGACGAAGAGAAGATTTCTTCAGAAAAAGATCTGTGAAATATGGACATGAGAGAGTGAAACTCCAGTCTTTAGATACGCAACAAAATCTTTCTATAGACTTGGCAGGCAATATCGAAAGAATCTCCTGGATGCTAGCTGTCCATTGGGATCTGACCAGATTTTTGTCCTGATACTTTAGTTGAAGAGATGATACAGTTCTCTTCCTTGGAAATGCATTGCTTCTGTTTCTTCATGGTGGACATAACATAGAATGGAAGCGCTGCCTAAAGTTTGAGTATGACAACCAACTTCTGATTTTTGTTCTACCTCATAATAACCATATCTATATACACAATCTAAATACATATTAGCTAATTATCTGGTCAAAAGATATTAAATCACACTTATTTTGAAAGAACAAAGAAGAAAAGAATAATGATACTATGTCAATATATTATTCTATATAAATAAATTTACGAATCTATTTTCTTCTTAAATAAATTTTATCTCCAGATGTCAATTTTGGAGTGTTGATTTGCTGGCATGCCTTGTATATATATATCCTTATATTTAATACTAAAAAGAAGAATATTTTCAAGAATACAAAAGAAGTCTATATTATTTGTTCTAAAAACATATTGTAAAATCAATTTTCAGATTTTAACCTTCTATAAATATATGTTCCTTATATATACTATAAGAGAATATTTTCCTTCTTTTTATGTACAATATATATAATTTCAGCAAAATAGAACGATTTGCGCCTTTCTTTTTTTGGGTATAGTTGACCATGTATATATTTCGTAAAAATTCTTAATGTACAGAAAATCTTTTTAAAAATCTAAACTACTATTCAAAGAACCTGAGATCAGATTAATAAAGGAGTAAACAATTGTTGTGGAATGGAGACTGTGGAATCAACTCGGACGGGGTCTTACTCTCCTTTGTATGATTATTCCCATGGGTTAACTAGTTGAACGGCCATTACATCCATAAACTTTATAATCGAGTTTGATTAATCTTTAATATGTTTCTATAACAACATTGTTAACAAATATTTTTTTTATAATCGAATTTAAAAGTTGACTATTCAGATTTTTTAAATGGTTTAGTCAAAAGAATATAAAAATTAAAACGGCTAATATTTGAAAATTGAATTATTTTTTTGCTCAAACATGAATTAAAAATGTTCTTGTTTTAATTTGAAAGTTTTGGATTTTAATGGATGTTTTCTCTTTGGTTTTTTCTCCACCATGTAGATTGTAGGGTGTAAGGCACGTATTTTCTTAATGGTTATCAAAAAGCTTGTTATTTTATTTCATTATTTGCAATTTTTTTAACTTTTTGAGAAGGTTTATTTCTTTTTATTTGCTTGCTTTTGCATTTACTATCGCATATTTGACATTTATCGTTAGTGTAGACAAAACATGATTCATCTTTACACCAAAAATATAAATTCATCTAATGACATTAAATATCTATTATATAAAGATGTGTTTCCCTTCTCCTTAAGGTGTCCACATAGGATGCCACGTCAGTATGTCTATGTCAACAATTTAGTTTATGGGTTTTGTTATGGGCTCTTTCATTTTTCTTTTATTGGGCTTCAATTGATAGTTGGTCCGCTAAACACTAACCTTAACCTAAGCTTCAGCAACGAAAAGCAGAGTCCTCGCCGTTCCTCCAACCGCGACTTTTCTGATTTTTCAGTTTCTGTTGCCGACGCTCATCTCCACGCTGATGTTTCAGTAGTAGAAAATGAGTTTGGTGTTTGGGTTCCTCATCTCCACGCGGGCCATGGCCATGGCCATGGCAGAGAGAGACTCGCCGTCGAGATCGTCGGAGAGTTTGAACCGGAAAGAGGCAAGGCTGAAAGTTGGGAGCTTTGAGTCGAACCAGAGGTAGAAAACGGTGGTTGCGACTAGGAGGACAAGGGTGATGCAAAGGCAACAACAGCAGGTGCGAGATGAGGATTTGCGTTTTGGCTTTGGTCGGAAAGAAGAAAAAGACATTCCAGCAGGTTTTCTTGTGGGTGGTTTTTGTGGCCTGGGAGGTGGAGGAGGAGAAGGAGTGGCCATGTTTGAGTCTCTGTAACCCAGTGGTTTTTTAAGGACCTGCTTAGACTTCATTTATTGATCCCTCAACATTTATCAAATTATCAAAGAACAAGGTTGATATCACTCAGATGTTTAACCCTAAGTGAATTACTCCCTCAAATAAGAGGTTCAATTGTAGTACTTAGTGATCGAATCCACAGGGAACTAAGGAATACAATAGATACAATCTAAATGATTATGCTAGTTTATAAGCAATGGTAAGTTGCTTAAGAGAATGGATTTAGGTTTGAAACAGTAAAAGAAATTAGTTAGATTTAACGTTGCTATTCAGATAATCAGAATTATAATGCTACATATGTTTTAATGAATTGCTTGCAAGATATATGAGAACTTAGATTATTAGATAGATCTAATAGCAGTCGCTAAATAGACACATCCATTGATCTTATTGCCAGCAATATCGAGCGATGTTTTGACAGCGATATCGGACGATATGGGTTGCTGTCGATCGATGACTCTATAGGAGTATCGATCGATATAGCATAAGATCGAATCAAAACTGTGTTCACCAAGATCATAGACCGGCTCTCGCACAACCCTAGAGGATCTAAGCTTATGCCAAATGATTTCAGGACGATGATTAACAAGCTAAATCACATCCATGATCATACTCTAGGTAGCTAATCTAGAGTAAGCATTAGGGTTCATTTGGATAATGAATATCAACAATTCAACATTCCATAGTTGGGGCTAATCCCTCATAACTATTTGAACCCTAAATCTAACAAAGAGATCTACTCAGACATAACTGAGAGATTCATGAAAATTAGGTAATAATAGAAACTCATAGATAGAGGATTGAACTTTTGGTTCTTGGAACAACAAATCTCTTTGTGTGTTTCCTCTAGATCTAGAATTCTATAACCTTTTAGAAATTAAGATGAAAATAAATACTTTATAGAATAGAACAAAGTAACAAGAAAAGTATTCAAAGCTTTTCAAGTACATAAGGTATTAGAAACACAAAAAGCATGTAAAGCACAAGAAAGCATGTCTAGCCAAACACAATGGCAAAAACTATAAATAAGAGTTCCATTAGGTTAAAAACTTGTCAGGGCCATTTTTGTAATGTTGGAAAGACTTGGGCTTCAAGTCGGCCAAGTTGAAGTTGTTCTCCACGCATCGTATCGATCGATGGTACATGGTGTACATCGATCGATGGAGTATCTTGACTTCATCTTCGATAGAAGCGTCATCGATTGATTACACAGGATGTGTATCGATCGATATGTATCCTCATTGTCTGATCTTCATAGTCATCTCAGAAAACTCTCCTTTAAGCTCTAAAATGACACATAAATCATCATTTTACTCCAAAGTGCTCCTGAACCTGAAAACATACCTAATAGACTCCAAAACATATATAAAACTCATAAAAACATATCAAAACTATGGCTAAAAGCGGGTCAAAATCATGGTATATCAAAGGTCATATCTTCTATCCAATATGATCTCTTATGTAATTTGACTATATTAAGTGGTGGATATTGATTGAATTTTGAATTCAGCAGGAAGCAACATAGATTCTGGTTAAGCAATTGGGTCAGTTGAAAGCAAAGAAAAAACTATTGTAGAAACAGAGGAAATCAGAAGAACCAAAAGCTTTTAGGTTTGTTCTTAATTCTTCCCTTTCACCTATTGATTTTCTTGGCATATTATTTAGTTTTTAAGAAATATTTAGAAGCAATAAAAATTAAGGGAGACAATAGGCTCATGGTTCCCGAAGATTACACTTTTGCACCATTTGGAGATTATAATTCTTCTGCTACTACTGCAACATATACATGGCTACAAAAAGGTTTAGATCCAAACCAAAGTAATGCACCCTATTTTGATTTTGGAGATTTGTTTTCACCTCCTTCTGAAGAGTTACCGAGCTGGCCACAATGCATATAATAGATTTTAGATCCAGCATCATGGAAAAAGAGAAGAAAGTCCAAGTGTTAAAGAATTTTTTATTAGAGTATATTTATACACATTTCTTGGAAACTATGTTCTGTCAAATAGAAATATTTTTTCTAGATTGTAAGATGTATTATATCACTTATGTAAATGATTATATTTTGGTTAATCTCTTTTTTTTTCTGCTGCATTATTGATTTTGCTGTACATATTGACTCGGGCAATGACATAACATCCTACATAATTTTCACAGACAATCTAATTGATTCTCATGTAGATGTGTGCTATTTACACTACTGCGGTATTACTGAACATTGGCTACAGAGCGATGCTGAGGTTGCGAATTTGTTCAACCGGTTATGTGAAGAAGTTGTTTTTTTTTTTTGAGCAATGAAGAAGTTGTTTTGATACATAACATAGTTATATATATCGGTTATCAACTGAGGTTAACCGTTATTACAATCAAAAGTAAAATGCTTGGAGATAGTATAGAAAAGTTCAAAGAATTTTTTTTTCTACAAAAAGAAAACTTTATAATTTACTAGGTTATACACATAAGTTCCATGACAGCTAACTGTTCAGGATTCTTTTGAACATATGATCAAGTTTTTTTTGCATTTAATTTTATTTGTAACAAAGAATTTAAAATATTCTAAAACCATTCAATTCAAATCGATGACTCTAAAAGTTATTAAGAAAATATTTACTTAATATATATTGAGAATTAATATTAGAAAAAAATAAAAAATAAGAAACTATTTTGACATCTTATATTTGATCAATTTTTTTTTTAAAAATGAAACAACATGAAAATCATTTGAAGCTCTCACAACGTACCAATACCATAACTTTTAATACAAAAGCAACTATTATAAACAAGCAAAATATGTTTTACCATATATGATTTCTTTTTACCTAAAACTTTTGAAAAGATAAAAATAATTATTATATACATCTTTTGCAAATGAAAACCTAAGATTCAAGCCATAAAATCATATAAAAATATTAATCTAAATCACAAGTAAATTACATCATGCCCGTAGGGCGGGCCGACCCTAGTTTTATATAAAAAGATTCATTTAATACGTTTTTATCATAAAATGACATTGAAAAAGTACATTCATTTCTTCCATGCCATTGTTTTTAATTAGGGAAGAATATTAGAATGACTCTAATTTATGGTGCTATTACTGCAATAACTCATATTTCTTTTCAAATTATTAGAATGTTTTCGTGGTCAGAATTAAACCCGACTATAGTTATACCAAAAAAAAAGGATCCCTCAAATTAGGTCGTCGGCAGATTTAATCAGGGGAAAACAAATTTGCCGAACAACAGAGTTCTTAAAAATGTCTATCATATGACACAACATATTTGTCTATATTTTGTCTGATTTGTATAAAAAAACCAATTTCTTTAATATGTCTGTCTGATGACACAACAGATTTGTATCAAACCAGAGATTTGTGCGATCGACTTATTTTCGAAAGGCAGAGTTGTTGAATTATGACCGATTTGTATATAAAATCTATTCTTCCTACGGTAGACTTAAGGCAAATCTATCACAAATTTACAAATATTGCATACTTGTTGCATTACGACGTGGCCGACTTGTTATTTTAAGTAGTGGTAGATTTGTTTAGTTATTCTGGGTTTTAGTAAACAAGTAGAAATTAAATTCGGATTGAATCCCGGTTTACTCCAATTAATCTGATTTTGGTTTCTTTCGACATTGGGGTATTTTAGTGGTTTAAGACCACAATTAGGGCTAATTATTTTTGTGGTAACTGTCGTCATCTCTTTCACCCCTCTTTTCTTCTTTCTCAAGTTGTTTTTTTCATGGTGGTTTGAAAACTTTCTTCCATCTTTTTTTCTTACAGAACAATGGATCACATCATTCTGGTCTGTGGGAAGTGGATATTCATGATGAGGAAGAAGTGGTTATTTGAAGTGGACAACGAGTGAGGTAGTAAATTACTCATACCTAATGAGAAAACTACATATGAGGATTTTGTGAAGACCATACATGAGGATTACGAAGTTGATTCCACATATCATGAGTTGGAGCTTGCGTACCTTCTTCCAAAGCGTAATCTGTTCAAGGAAAATATAGATACACCTTCTGTGAAAGTAAGAAACGATAGCCAGTTTCAGAGATTTTTGTGTCTTCACAAAGTCAAAAACCTCAGACTATGTGTAGAGTTTAAAGTGAAGAAAGACGAAATCAACGAAGCTACCGACGAGCCAGAAGAAATCGTAGAAAATAATAATCCATTGTCTAGCGATTCTGATGATACAGATGAAGAGGGTGATCGCTTTGATTACTGCGACGATTCTGATGGTGTAACATCTGAAGACGAGATTTTTACGTCATATGGGTTCCGCCATACCAAGTACAAGAGGATCAGGGATCTCTTACAAAGACGAGTTGCGACACTGTTCAAAAGACACAAGAAAAAGATTCTCTACAGGATCGGGTTGACGTGAGCTCTTTTAACTTTAATGTAGGGCAAACTTTTGAATCAAAAGATGCACTGGAGACACTTCCAAGTTTTTTTCAGTTGTCAAAAAGTTTGATTTTGATGTGGTAAAATCTACGCGTGAGTTGTTACATGTACAGTGTTGGTTAAAAGGTTGTACGTGGAAGCTTAGAGCTTCACCAGTAGGCGAATCTACAAAGTTTACTGTTCGAGTATATGTAGCCAAACATTCCTGCTCCGTAACAGAGCTTTCGGCTCGGTCCCAACAAGCAACTCCTGAAATTCTTGGAGTCTTGTACAAAGACTATGTTGGTGGGGTTGAAAAGACTGTTTTTCCAAGTCATGTTGCTACTGCTATGTCCTTGAGCTTCGGAATCAAGGTAAATCGAGAAGATTTTTGCATCAAATTTACTGTGTTGTTAGACCTCATATGATATTAAATGTGTCGATGTCATTTGTATCTTTCAGATGGAGTATTGGAAAGCTGGTCGTATACTTTTGGTTGCTAGAGATCTCGTATTGAGTTCATCGGAGAGTGGATACTCGGAGTTAACTGCTTACTTGCATAATATTAAATTGGCGAATCCTGGAACTCTAACCGCACTGGAAGTCGATGCAGACAATAGGTTCAAGTACTTATTCCTTGCTTTAAGTGCTAGCACTACCGGATTTCCATACATTAGAAAGGTTGTTGTGGTTGATGGTACTTTCTTGCAAGGAAAATATAAAGGAACGCTTCTCGTTGCTACGTCACAGGATGGTAATTTCCAAAATTTTCCAGTTGCGTTTGCGGTTGTTGACACAGAGAATGATGAATCATGGACATGTTTTTTCCGGAAAGTCAGCCGTGTGATACCTGATGATGAAGGCTTGGCTTTGATTTCTGATAGACACAAATCAATTAGGAAGGCTATTTCAGTGGTCTATCCATTGGCTAGCATACTCTTTTAGGGTAACATACTTTCAAGCAGTCTTCGATACGATCAACGTGTTAAATCCGGCTTTACATGCATATTTGGATTGTGCTGATGTATGTAAGTGGGCATGAGCACATTTTAGAGGTAATCGGTACAACATACTTACAAGTAACATAGCTGAATCCATAAACAGAGCTTTGTCAGATGTGAGAAGCTTGCAAATTGTTCGCCTTTTAGAGGCAATTCGACTAATGATGACACGTTGGTTTGCAACAAGAAAACATGATGCTGACTTGATGAAAACCTCTCTCACTCGTGGTGTAGAGAATTTGTTTGAGGTAATAGATTTAGAATCACTCTTGTTTACTCATACTAATCTGTTTTTGGTGTACCTATTGCTAAAATTTACCATTTGCAGGGCCGTATACCTATTGCTAATCTGTTAAAGGTTCAAGACATCCATCAGTCACAAGTGATGGGAGTCTCATCTTTACATGTTGTTAATCTAACCGAGAAGACATGCACTTGCCATAAGTTTGATTTGGAGAAGCTACCATGTGCTCATGCTATAGCTGCTGCGGAAAAAAGAAAGATATCACGTATATCACTTTGTCACCATTACTATTGGAAGCAGTACCTCCACAATGCCTATTTAAGTGCTGTTATGCCCAAAGATGATGCTGTTCCAATTCCACAAGAAGTTGCAAATAAGGTTTGTTTACCACCTGATGTCCGTCAACCACTTGGAAGACCGAAGAAATCCAGACATAAATCTATTTTGGAGAAAGTGGCCGAGAAGAAGCGACCACGTAAGGACCACGCATGTAGAATTTGTAACCAGATGCGGCATAATTCTAAAACATGCCCTCTGAAGTGATGAGTATTCGATTGAATTTGTTTTCGCTTTGCTCTTTGGTGTTTACATTGAATTTGTTTTTGCTATGTTCTTTGGTGTTTACATTGAATATGTTTTTGCTTTGGTCTTTGGAGTTTACATTGGATTTGTTTTTGCTTTGTTCTTTGGTGTTTACATTGAATATGTTTTTGCTTTGGTCTTTGGAGTTTACATTGGATTTTTTTTGCTGTGCTCTTTGGTGTTTACAAACAGAAACCATAAAAATCAGAAAACAATACCCTGCCAATAACCTCAAAAATCAATGTGAACAATAACTTACCAATCACCATAAAAATCATAAGACAATAACCTTCCAATAACCATAAAAATCGAGCCAAGTTATCATCCAGAAACATGTACTAGCTGAGAAAAACCAAAAGAAAAACCTGCCAACTAAAACATCCATTTTACAGCCAAATTATCATCCATCCAAGTACTAGCCGACAACAACTAAAACTAAATCATCCTAATACATTTCATTCTTCAGTAAAAACCTCTCTCACCTCTTCAAAGATGTCGGCTGCCAACTTCAATCTTAGATCCGGAATGATCTGATCAGATAAGCCGTCCCATGTCCTTCCAAGAGCCACACACTCTATGTACTTCAAAGAGTACACACCACAATCTCCCGGGTCATCGTTTGGAGGGAACTTGTGTCTACGTAGGGTGAACTGCTTCTCAGTCTTCTTTCTGATTTTAACCGGCACCATCTTGTTAAGCACAAGCGGAATCATCTTCATGAATGCTCTGCACTCCTCATGCAGAGAACGTTCCTCTGGCACCACACTCGGAATGCTATCATACACACGGACCATCACCTTCGGAAAATCAATATGTAAGCCCACTCAATGGTTTCCATTAACAAGGTGGCAGGTTAACAAACTGTCAACGTCAGTAAGCCACTTTCTACTTGTCAGAAATTGCTCCGGGTATTCTCCATTGAACGCCTTGCTGTACATATCTGACAACTCGATTGGCTTCCCCTCCGTGACCATTTTGTTGTAGTTATTAACCCACGAGTTCACCAACCACCGATCTAAAAATGCTATTCGAGAGGAGGCATATGGAGATGTGGAAAGCATGGAACGTCGGTGAAACATGAGAAGAGCCGCGGCCATGTGCTGCAAAAAGATAAGCCATTGCTTAAAATCAGTTAGCCAATAATCTTGTGAAGCCATAATGAGACCAAAATCACAAATTTTCAAAAACTCACTCCATCACCCAACCAGCCGTAATTGGGTGTTGGCTGCACTTCTCTTGGTACCATTAGATTTAAGTAAAACTGACCGGAATTGTCTCCGTAGCTAATTTCCTCGTCGTCTCCAAATGAAAAAAAATGGAGCATTCAACCAACATATCTCACGAAATAAATTTCAGCTTCATGTAAAACTTACAGATCTTGTTTAATGAAGTCCAAAAGCTTCTGGATTTTTCCAGCCTCGACTTTAGCTAATGGGTCATACGCCTTCTTCGAATCACTTATTATATGCTTCACCGTTGAATTCCCAACCTACAGACATACTTGAGTCTTTGTCAACTGAGGCTTCCTTGTACGTGTAGGCTCCTCTACACCGGCAGCAAGTTCTTCCAACACTTGCCTACACTGTTCAGTCTTCTCCCATTTCAGATGATCTTCCCACTCTTGAGTCAAAATAGACTCATCTTTCAGCTGCGGGATGTCAATTGTTTTCTTCTCCTTCTTCACTTTTTTCAGTCTCCCATCTTCCTTCTCCTTCTTCACGGGTTTCAGTCGCACAGCATCCTTCTTATCCTTCTTCACTTTTTTCAGTGGCACTGCATCTTCCTCACTCTCAAGCTCCTCCTTCTCCATCGTCACTTCTTTCTTCTCCGTTTTAACTTTTTTCAGTGGCACCTCCTTAGAGCCAAGCTCCTCATTCTCCATCGTCACTTCTTTCTTCTCCATTATAAATTTTTTCAGTGGCACCTCCTTAGAGCCAAGTTCCTCCTTCTCCATCGTCTTCTTTTCCTTCTTATCCTTCTTAACAACACTTTAAATTGGCAAACCATCAAGTGAACTGATCTTCTTCTCAATCTTCCAAGACTGAAGTATTAAACAACATTATCAGTAAATTTAAAGGAAAACAGAGAAAAATGAATAAGTAAATCGTACCAAGTCGTTGCCAAAAGCATCATCATCTTCGTTGGCCTTGGAATTTTCAGAGTTGGAGTCGGCCACATCTTGAGGGATGTTTACATCAGCTTTGTTTTTAAAAAACTTCACATCTTCCTCCAAACTTGCTATCTTCTTCAGCAACTCATCCTTAATAGGACCCATTGTAGCATCCACCTTATCTTGTATTGTACCTTCTAAAATTTTAGTAACTTTCTCAGCTACACTAACATCCATGCCTTCTATTTTTTGAGTGAGTTTGGTAAGAGAGTCAACTAAGCCGAGTATAGCCACGTTCTGAGCTGCGAACTGTATTCCACAAACGAACCATGTTAGTGACATCATAAAAAAATGTGTTTCTATCACAAAGTATCAGGAAAATTCTAAAACATACGATATCAGATGTTTCACCTCCATGAGCCGGTTCTTTTCCTTTTTTTCGCTTAGTAGAAGGACTGACATTTGGAATAACAGATGCCGCAACACCAAATTTTCTCTTCTTTGGCGAGTTGGTAGTTGGAGTTACATCCCAAAACTGGTCATTTAGCTGACCATTGATGATATCTTTTATCAGGTTCTCCCACTCATTATCCATTTCATCATTCGGCCATTTTGGATATCTGTCTTCCATTGGCTTCATAACCATCTGCCTCACACGAACCAGCAAAAAAAATATACAAAACAAGCTCACATTACTAAATTTGGCCCAAATACTGTCTTTAAAATTCAAAACAATATTCCAAATCTTAAATCTCTCTTAACAGTGAAGAAAGAAAGAAAAAATAAGAGACGATATGTACCTTCTGATACTGTATTTTTTCCTGATCATAGAAAGCTTGGAAGTTTATATGGGTACGAAATCCCCCCCCATGACAGAAGAGGAACATCAGCTCCCTCTATCTGATTGCCATAGTTTTCTCCTACACCAGGGACGAATTCATAAATCCATACTAAAAGGACGTGAACACAGCCATGGACAGTGTAACTCTTCCCTAGTTGAAATGAGACCATTTTAATGGACTGAACAAACTGGCTAAATCCAATCGACCCCATGGATATCGCTGGAAAGCTGCAGTGTCCATCACTCTTTTAGCACAATGCAAAGGGATTCTGCTGTTGCTCCCAATGTCAAATATCCCAATATGTAGCAATCCCAAAGACCATACTCGCTTCTCTCGAGAACAGTTTCTAAACTTCACCAATAAAGCTTGTAAGTATTTCAATGTAGGCCCTTCAGATGTTGGAACTTCCATCTCCAGCCAAAACTCTCGATGATCCACATCCCACACGTCATGCTGGTCGAAAGCATCACAGTTTAGACCCATAATCTCCTCAAACTCATACAAGGAAAACCGTAGTGGCATACAATCTATCAACGACCAAATCTCATACATGCTCTTGATGGCGAGTTGATTAGCAAGGAAATAATGAACAGCTTCAGCAGACCAAATATATTCCATCTCCTTCAGCTTAACGATAACTCCAACAGCTAATTCCCTCAACTCAGCCCAAACATCTTCCCCAACAGCTTCTTTAAACGGTTGAAGATTTTCCAGAAAACAACTATGGTTCATGCTTCTACTCTGAATCGGGGTTTTTCGAACATCATAGAGACCTTTCGGATACACTCTCGTAGTACCCGAAGAAGAAGCCATACCTACAACATAAAACACTTTACAAGTTATTTGCTTATTTTTAAAAAGGGAATAAAAATTTAGTACTCGCATAAGGAAAATAAACACGTTGAGTTGGGTTATACATAAAGGAATTGAAAGCCAAAGTTTTGAGAAAAACAGAACAAACGAATCTCGAAAACGTAACCCAAAAATGTGAAATTCAATTAGATGTAGTATTTGGGGAAAATTGGGATTTAGGGTTTTCGAAATCAAACATGCAACCAACCTATAATTGAGTTAGAAACGAGTAGATACAGCTTGGAATTAGATAGATTACCGTATTAGAGGTTCGTAATTTAGGTTTTTAAAAATTTGGGATTTAGGGATAAATTGGGATTTAGTAGATACAGCTTGGAAAAGAGGCGATGAAGGAGACTTCACGGAGGAGATGCGATGGTGGAGATGCGATGGAGGAGATGGTGGAGATGACGACTCTGACGAGGTGGACTCTTGACGGAGAATATGGTGTTGGAGGGAGAGAAGAACGACGGCGAGACTCGATCGGAATTCCCGACGGAGAAGATGGTGTCTTTGTCGTTGTGAAAGAGAGAGAGAGAGACCCGAGAAAATAAGTTTGACTGTTTTATTGTTTATTTTTTTCAATAATTTTTCTGTTAATCAATTTTTTTTTCGATTACAATTAGAAAAGGGTGATTTAGCCCCATTGCTTGTTACAAAATGGGGTCTAGTATTTTAAATTTTATATGAGTCATTCTAGTCATTTTTTGATCAATTTGGGCCATTCCAAGTAATATCTCTTTTAATTATTTCCAACAAATAATGTTCATATATACATATATTTAGGTATAATAATACGGATTTTTTCAACGAATTTGTCAACTGGTTTTGCATATCATAACACTACATGTTGGTGTCAAAATCGGTCACAACGGAATCAATGGAAAAAAGTCTCCGCAGAAAATATAAAAGAAATCGTTTTATAAGACTCGAAGAATCGTTTTATAAAACTCGAAGAATCTTTTTATAAAACTCGAGAATCGTTTTATAAAACTCAAGAATCAATTTATAAAACTCAAAGAATCGTTTTATAAAACTCGAGAATCGTTTTATAAAACTCGAAGAATCGTTTTATAAAACTCGAGAACCGTTTTATAAAACTCGAAGAATCGTTTTATAAAACTCGAGAATCGTTTTATAAAACTCAAGAATCGTTTTATAAAACTTGAAGAATCGTTTTATAAAACTCGATAATCGTTTTATAAAACTCGAAGACCGTTTTATAAAACTCGAGAATCGTTTTATAAAACTCGAGAATCGTTTTATAAAACTCGAGAATCATTTTATAAAACTCCAGAATCGTTTTATAAAACTCGAAGAATCGTTTTATAAAACTCGGGAATCTTTTTATCAAACTCGAGAATCGTTTTATAAAACTCAAAGAATTGTTTTATAAAACTCGAGAATCGTTTTATAAAACTCGAAAATCGTTTTATAAAACTCGAAGAATCGTTTTATAAAACTCGAGAATCATTTTATAAAACTCAAAGAATCGTTTTAAAAAACTCGAGAATCATTTTATAAAACTCGAAGACCGTTTTATAAAACTCGAGAATCATTTTATAAAACTCGAGAATCGTTTTATAAAACTCGAGAATCGTTTTATAAAACTCGAGAATCATTTTATAAAACTTGAGAATCGTTTTATAGAACTCGAGAATCATTTTATAAAACTCGAGAATCGTTTTATAAAACTTGAAGATCGTTTTATAGAAACTCGAAGAATCGTTTTAGAAAACTCGAGAATCATTTTATAAAACTCAAGAATCGTTTTATAAAAATCGAAGATCGTTTTATAAAACTCGAGAATCGTTTTACAAAATCGCGAAAAACCGAAACCGCCGCAAAATGCGAACTAGTCGTGACTAGTTCGCCTGCTGGCGAACTAAGCCGAGCTGGCTTAGTTTGCCAGCAGGCGAACTACGAGCCTCCCGACTAGTTCGCCTGCTGGCAAACTAAGCCAGCTCGACTTAGTTTGCCAGCAGGCGAACTAGGAGCTTCCCGACTAGTTCGCCTGCTGCCGAACTAAGCCAGCTCGGCTTAGTTCGCCAGCAGGCGAACTAGGAACCTCCCGACTAGTTCGCCTGCTGGCGAACTAAGCCAAGCTGGGTTACTTCGCCAGCAGGCGAACTAGAGGCTCCCCAACGGCGAACTAAGAGGTGCTGACTTTGCCCCACAGGTTTTTATCGCCTAGTTCGCCATATGGCGACCTGGCCAAGCTGAACTAGCTCGCCGTACGTCGAGCCGACCATCCCGAGCCTCGATCTCCCACGTCCTTGATTCAAGGCATACGTCCTTCGACACGATCGTATTCCGAATCACGGTCAAAATGTCTCCTGTTTCGTCTCGATCCGTCCTATCGTTCGAGTTTTACGATAAAAACTGTAAAACTTTGTTTTCTCGAAAACAACTCGAGGAAATCGTATAAAACGGCAACGGTTAAACGAAACGCCGAATATTGCCTAAACTATACGATTTATTCGATTTTTTTCGTAAAAATCGTACAAAACGCGTTTTTAATAAAACCCCGAGTAAATCGTAGAAAACGGCAACGATTAATCGAAACATCGAACATTGCTTAGCTTTACGATTAACTCGGGAAACTTATCTAAAAACGGCATCGTATCAGGAAACGATCTCGTCTAAAGTCGTAAAACGGATTTATCGCAAAACGGCTCGGGAAGTCATAAAACGCGATAAAAGCCACTCGCGACTTTAAACGAAGTCCAACCCGAAGATACGACGACGTTTTGGCGATTTACTCGCAGAAAGAAGTTAAATGTCAAACTTGAAGATAAATGTCAAGTTTGAGGATAAATAGAAGATTTCCGCGGAAAAAAGGAAAGATCGAGATAAATGGAAGATTCCCATTAAACTCGAATCTGGGTGAAATGGAAAGACTAAACCGCCTAGGAAGGGAGTATATAAGCAAGAGGCATAGAGCAGAAGCAAAGGGACGAATTTCAGAGCTCTCATCTGAGACTTTTATAACTTTTCTAGACTTAGAATTTTCCGCACTTAGAAACTTAGGATTTTTCTCGACAAGTTTGGTTTCTATGACTGGCGCTCAATTACTAGACGAACTCGCCCAGGCAGATCGATCTCTGGTCCAGCTCTATCAACTGAACTACGTTCGACTTGATCCCCGAAAGGGGTACGTAGGCAGCCTTTCATAAGGTTCAGTCCGAAATCAATCAAACCTTTTTTCCTATATTTTTCCGTCTTTCGTTATCGAGCTGCGACTCGACTAGATCTAGGGTTTTATGTTTGTAACTCTCTGATGGCCCCTGCGACCAAAGCCTTTGTAATTCCTTGTAATGATCGCAACGCTCTTACGCGAATCGGAAATAAGATCGACTTTCTTTATAAATTCGTTTTATTGCGTATTTCATATTTTTCCGCATTTATTTGGTTACTTGTCGTTGGCTTTCGCAGAGATCCGGTTCCTCTAGGAAATTAGGGTTTTCCTAACTTTCCTTATTTAACGGAAATCGACAAGTGTGAATCTTGGTTCCCACAGTTTGGCGCTAGAGAGAGGGGGGTCGGATTACTCTTACTCATAACCGCAAAACGCTTGATCAAAACAATGTCTGGATATATGAAAGACAAAGTCGCTGCTCGCAAAAAGACGTTGGTAAAACAACTCCAGCAGCGACTTCTCGTACAGCCAACGCTCACGTAAATGCTGTAGTACTCAACAAAATCGAAAACCTAATCGCGACTCTTCTCCACGGGAAGAGCAACGAAACAAGCTCACGATTTCTATCTCAGATCAATAAGGGCAACGATAAAATCTATCAAACCCCGTAGTGTTTTTCTTATTTCCGAGTTGGACAAATCTCATGGGTTGAGCAAAAGACATTTCCGACAACTTTTCGGAAAAAATAAAACTTGCTTTCCCAAAAACTGCGGAACAAACCGTAAGTTACTCGCGAAATAAATCATAGGTTACTCGCGGAAAAACCCAAGGCTGTTCGTGGAAAAACCTTAGGTTACTGGCGGAGAAAGCCCTAGGTTACTCGCGGAGAAAGCCCTAGGTTACTCGTGGAGAAAGCCCTAGCTTTACTCGTGGAGAAAGCCCTAGGTTACTCGCGTAAAAACCCTAGGTTATTCGCAACAAAACCCTAGGTTGCTCGCGAAAGAACCTTAGGCTACTCGCAGAATCGGGCAATACTATCCAGCCGAAAAGACGGTGAGATCGCCAAGCAACCTAGCTTGCCATCTTGGCGAGCTGACCGGCTTTCCACCTCGTCCTAGAGGCACTGACTTTTCCCCGAGGGTCCGCACAATCCAACTCATAGCTACAGTGAGCCTGATCGTACTCTAAACAATAATCGCACTGCTTTTCGTTTCGTCTCAATCGGACTTTCCGTTGAAATTCTACGACGAAAACAAGTCAACTCGACGGATCGAGATCACCCGCACCAAGCGTCTTAGCTCGCCGAACGTAGAGCTAAACCAGGAGTCTTAGCTCACCGAACGTAAAGCTAAACCAAGCTGGCTTAGCTCGCCGAACGTAGAGCTAAACCAAGCGTCTTAGCTCGCCGAACGTAGAGCTAAACCAAGCGCCTAGCTTGCCCAAGAAGTGCTGACTTTGCCCCAAGGGTTCTTACCATCAGGATCGCCACACGGCGAGCTGAAAGGGTTCACCCGAATTTCCCAACGTCGAGCTGAACCAATCCTAGAGTTTCTCTCTCAAGTCTTGATCGCGCTGATTCTTGTTTTGTCTCAATCGGAATTTCCATCAGGATTTTATGATAAAACCGCGAAGACTTGTTTCTTCGTATAAGTTCGAATCAATGGTCTAAAACGGCAACGGTTGAATTAACACCAAAGTCGCCTAAACTATACGAGAAATCTGAACTCTCTAGACCCAATCCGGTTTTATGAAACTCTGCCACGCTAAGTCGAAAACATCCAATCATAAACACGTGATTGATTTTTTCGATATACAAAGCGCA